CCCGCCCCTCCCGCCCCTCCCCCCCGCCCCTCGCCAACACACCACCCACTGCGCTCGGACCCCACACCTGTTGACGATGCGGAGCTCCAGGGCCGTGGCAGCGTCGCCGGCCTTGCCGGCAAACACCCCCGGCGGCACGTCCACGCGCAGGAGGAGCTCCCGCTGCAGCGCGGGGGCGGCGAGCGGTGCGGGCCGCGGCGCGCCGGCCAGCACGGCCCCGCTCTCGGCGCCGCGCTCCCTCGCGGCCGCCGGCCGGCGCTGCGGCACGACGTCGATGCGCGTGGCGGCGGGAGGCTCGCCGGGTGCGGTGCCCGCCTGCGGCGCACGGCTGGGGCTGAAGCCGAAGCTGGCGGCCGCGCCGCCCAGCCTGGCGTCCAGGGCGGCCAGGTCGGCGGGGGCGGGCGGCTGCGCCGGGGTCGTCGTCGAGACCGGGGGCGCTGGAACGGGCGCTGCTGTCGTGCTGGGCTCTGGCGCCTGTGACACGGTAGCCCCCTCGGGTCCTTTACCTGCCGCCTCCTCCAGCTCCAGCTGCTCCACGCTTTCCACCAGGCGCCGGCGCTGGCCCAGTCCTGCCCCGCTGCGCCCATACAGCGTCTGGAGCGCGCCATCCACTGCCAGGGGGGGCGCTGCGGCGCCCAGCTCGTCACAGTCGAACTGGAAGATCGCCACCGTGCCTGCCCTTGTTGTGGGGAGCGGGAGGTTGGAGAATGTCTAGTGGGGCAATTGAGCATGGGGGGGGAGGGTTCCCACGGCACGGCCAAGCCATCCCCTGGAACGCAGCTTCCACATAGAACAACAGTGTGTAATCCCAAGGCCTGGCACCGCACGCCAGTCACCGCATCCCTCCTGCTCCGGGTCCGCACCGTCGGTGGAGCTGGCGAGGAGGCCATAGCCAGAGGACGTCCATGCCAGGTCCAGCACCTGGGCGTCGAAGAAGCGAGAGGCGCAGAAGATGGGGCGGTCCGCCCCCGCAGTCCACACTGTGAGTGGGGAGGGGTGGGGAGGAGGCATGGGGAATGAGGGTGATGGGGGGTGAGGCTGGACACCGCATGCAGTTGGCACGCAAGGCAGTATTCACTGCGTCGCTCCACCCCCCGCACTCCTCCCAAGGGCGCCCACACCCCTCCATCCCCACCTGTGGCCCTCCGGTCCTGGCTGCCGATGGCAAAGACAGGGGCGAGGGCGTCGGCATCGGGGTCATCGTCGCCCCGCCCCGCCTTGGTGCCGTGCGCCGCACCGTCGCCTGCCGCGGCCTCGCCGCTGCCGTCTGCGGCCTCGCCGTTTGCGTCCCCGTTCTCCTTGCCGCTGGCTCTGCTGGCCCGGCTGGGGGTGCTGAACAGGCGGGGGTTGAAGGCCCCGCACACCACAGCGCCTGGTGGGCGGAAGGCGGGCGACAGGGATCAAGGGATCGGTGAGCGCCACCCGAGGGTGTGGGCCGCCAGCAGCACCCGGGTTCACTCCGCGCACCCTCGCCGCCACCTCGTCCTCAACCGATCCCCCCTCCGCATCCCCCATCGTCGCACCGCTGTGCCCACTGATGAGCAGGTAGTCCTTGGGGCGGGTCCAGCGCTCGCGCGGCACCAGGACCGCAGCGTGCGTGGCGCCCTGGAAGGAGTTGCCGGCCAGCAGCCACTGGCCGTCGGGCGACCAGGAGCAGCGCAGGGCAAAGGTTGAGGAGATCATCATGGAGAAGGGGGACACGATCCGAGCCACCTGGCTCCAGTCCTCCACCCTCCACACGATCACCGACTTGTCATCCGACTGGACGTTGCAGAGGGATGCAGTGGGGGCAGGGCGGTGGGGGTGTCGAAGGCCTTTCCCCAACTTTGGCAGGAGTATCATGCCGAGGAGGCAGGGGGGAAACGCACAGTGCCTCCTGGACAGCAAGGAAAGCAATACCAGACCCTTGCCGCTCGCAGAAAACCACCCACCCATTTCCCAGACCCACCTGGGTGGCGAGGTAGGAGCCTACAGGGTCCCAGGCGATGCCCTTGACAAAGTTGGTGTGGGCGTCCAGGCGGGCCACACGCTGGCCACTGGCAATCGCCCAGACAGCGGCCGTGCCGTCCAGGCTGGCGGTGGCCAGCAGGGCGTCATCGGGACTCCACGCCACGTCCACCACGTTGTTACCGTGGCCCCGCAGCGCGGCCTTCAGCCGCCAGTTCTCGATGTTGGGGGTGGAGGAGCCCAGCGAGCCAACGCCAGGACCGGGCCGCAGCTCAAACACGCAGGCCAGGTGGTCGTCCGAGCCTGGGTGGGTGAGCAGGAGGGCGGAGTGGTAGGTATGCACGGGTAAAGAGTGGAGTGTGCATGGGAGGGGGGCGTAAGGGTGCAGCAGGAAGCCGTGGATTGTTGGACATTTCAGGCGTTCAAAGTCCAAGGACCTGGCAGACACAAGCGCAGCTCAGGCGAAACACCCCGCTGCCCCACTATCTGACGTTCCCACAATTCCAGTCCCTCTCCCGCCTACCTGTGGCCAGCTGGCGGCCGTTGTGGCTGAAGCGCACGACGTTAACGGGTCCGTTATGCTCTGTGAGGGTGGCCAGCAGCTTGTGCACCCCCGGCTGAGCCTCCTGTTTGGCGTCCAGGGCGCAGCCCAAGCTCCAGATCTTGGCTTTGCCGTCCGAACCGGCCGTGGCGAAGCGGGTGGAGCCCGGCTGGGGGTGCACGGAGAAGATGGGGTGGCCTGCGCGGGGTGGGTGGGTGGGTAGGTGGGCGGGGTGGGCACTCCCAACATCAGATCACAGCTCGGAGCCATGATGGGGCCCCTCGATCCCGAGACCTGGCTATCGAAATTTGCCAAATAATCAACCCCCTCCCCTCAGCGCTCACCATCGTGTGAGCACCAGGGCAGCTTGTCCACCAGCATGATCACCCTCGAACGGTGGGCTCAGCGACCTTGCTCCCGATGTGACCTCTGAGGATTGAAGAACCCGCACATCATTCCATTGTCCACATGAAGATTGGATCCTTGGTGCCGTGCTCAATTCGAGGCGTGTCTGTCCCATTCCCAGTTTCAAGCGATGTACGATGCGTCCCCGATTGCCGGGAAGGGAAGAAATGACGCGTGGACCCATGGGCGGGTGTGCCGCTAGCAACTTCCTGCACTCACATCCCGCCCTGGTGTTCCCTTGCATGAGATGTTACCGAACCAGAACGCCCGGCTCTGTACACAATCAGCCGCGCAGCGAGCCCGCGGCGGCGGCTGGCAGGCCCTGCCCCCTCCCCCCCCGCCCTGCCAGGGGCCGCTTGGACAGGTCGAACATGAGCTTCACGTTCTCCTCTGGCGTGCCCACCAGCACGCCGTGGCCCAGGTTGAGCACATGCCCCGAGCCCCCGGCCTTGGCCAGGCAGTCGTCCACCGCCGCCTCCACCGCGCGGGCGGGCCCAAACAGCACGGCAGGGTCCACATTGCCCTGCACGGGCACGTGCGCGCCCAGCCGCCGCCGCGCGTCGGCCATGTCCACCGTCCAGTCCAGGCCCACCACGTCCACGCCGGTGGAGGGCAGGCGCTCCAGCAGGCCGGCGGAGCCGTTGGCATACAGGGTCACGGGGACCAGGGGGTGCACGGCCTTGAACTTGGACACCAGGCGCCGGATGTAGGGGGCGCTCCACACATCCCACTCCTGGGTTGAGAGTGCAGAGGGTTGTTGGGAGTGCGTTCGGACCAGAGGAAGGAGGGGTGGGAGGCCCTTGCATTGGACGAGGCTGCCGGCATCGAGCATGCAGCCCCTGCAAGCCAGCGGATCGCCCAACCCCCACACCCAACGTGCCTTGGGGGGGAGCTGGCCTCCCCAGGAGTCGAAGAGCATGATGCAGTCTGCGCCTGAGGAGGCCTGGTAGATGGCGTACTCGGCGATCTGGTCTGCCAGGTGGCTCAGCAGCGAGTTCAGCAGGCGCGGCGCTGCAGGGAGGGATTGGAGGGTGGGGGGCGAGGGGAATGAGTCAAGTGCATGGGCATTTTAGGTTACCAAGCCAGTGGATCAAGCTATCCAACCCCACCGCCCCACACCCACCGGTGTAGCACATCGACTTGATGGTGGTGTAGGTGGAGGAGCTGGCGCCCTCCACAATGTACGTGGCCAGGGTCCAGGGGCAGCCCACGAACCCGAGCACCGCGGCCTCGGGCGCCACCTCCGCGCGAAGTGCACGCAGGGACTCGCCCACAAAGTGCACGGCATCTGTGTCCAACGACCGCAGGGCGTCCACCTGCTCCTGGCTCCGCACAGGGTTGGCGATGAGCGGGCCCTTGATGTCGTCGATCTCAAAGGGAATGCCCAGAGCGGGCAGCGGGGTGAGGATGTCACTGCGATGAAGGAGGAAAGGAGGAACGTGGGTTGGGAAGCGAGGGGTCAGGGGAGCTGTGGCGGGCCCCATGTAGGGGGGGGTGGGGGGGGAAGGCAGCCGGCGGGGCAGGAGCTGCATGAGGGACAGCGCCGCAAGGCTCTCCCGCGTTGCCGAAAGCGCTGCGCTGCGCTGCGCACGCTGCACAGCCCTGCAGGGAAGCGCACCTGAAAATGATGACGCCGTCGGGGCGGAAGGAGTGCCATGGCTGCAGGCTGATATCCACGATGAGGTCGGTGTTCTCCGACCGCTGGCGGAAGGAGGGGTACTGCAGGGCCAGGTCGCGGTAGGCCTTCTGGTACCGGCCCGCTTGTCGCATCATCCTGCAGGTGAGTTTGGGGAGGGGTGGGAGGGGCGATGGAGCCAGGCACACCAATGCCCGTGGAGGAGGAGGAGGAGGCATGGCCTGCACATGGCCGTCGCCGCAGGACCAACATTCCCTGCAACCTCCTTAGTCCCTCCTCACCAGCATGGAGGACGCTCCAGCTCCTCTCCACGAGCCGCCCTGACCATGAGCGGCTCCGCGCCTGGCAAAGGTGGGGGGCCCATGAATGTCAGCTGTTGGCGGCCAGGCCCACCAGCACCCAAATCATGCCCCCAGCAGCAATTCACCATGCAGGGCTGAAACTGTACCAGAGGGGCTAGCTGCCTTTATGCATGTCGAGTGTGACCTGGGTGGCCTGCGATGACCTGCTGGCCTGAAAAACTGCGAGCTGGGAGCCTGTGTACGGAGTTGCCTCGCTCCCCCTCCACCCCAGTGACAGCCTCGCGCGAGCATTGTCTCACTGGTGTGCAAGCGATGTAGCAGCCGTGATTTGACGTCTTAATTATTGCGTCATGTCACCCAGTGGGTGGATCCAACGCGCAGTGCTGTGTCCTGCCCAACCCACACAGATATCGTTGTCCCGGTCCACTGGTGGCGGGAAGCAGAACGATCCAATCCGAACGCGCCAAAGGCGCGTTTCTCCCCGAGAGCTTCGCGAAGTAGGCACGCCTCGAGCCCAAGCTCGAGGCCTACACCAGCCGAAAATTTAATCAAGGCTCATTGATAGGCACAGCTAGACGACACAACAACGGAACATACCTAGGACCTGCATCGGCGAATCCTCGCACCCGGCATATTCGGGGTGCTGGCCTCCCATCTATCTTCGGCTGCACCGTCGGCGAGAACCGAGACCATGGGTCTGGAGGAGCTTCAGAGGGAGGGTGAGACCCTCGTCGCCTCTGCCGGTCCCTACCAGTTCACTCGCAGCCGCAAGGACGCTGGCTGGGGCGTGGCCTTTGGCCTGGCCTACGCTGCCGTCGTGGTCGCCGGCATCTACGGCTATGTGAACAGGTGGGATGCGTGTGTGTAGTCTCGAGACACTCTTTCGATGCCGGATCGGGTCTCACGGCTGTGCTTGGCCCCCGTGCACTTGCTCGGAAGCTCACTGTCTGGCTGGGTAAAGGGGAGTTCCCAATATCAGGCCGTGGAACTTCTCAGCGCAGGAACTTCAGAACCCACTCCGCATTACCAGTGATCACCTCCCTCATATGTACACGAAGGCAGGGAGATGCACTGACCCCAAATTTCCCCCTCACACGCCCCATAAATTGATATCATACCTCTGCTCCTGGCCCTCACTCACAAGCCCCCCTTCCTCACCTCCTCCTCTGCTCACAGGAACCCTGACTTTGCCCTGATCAACCAGGACTACCTGTCCGATCCCGAGAACTGCCCCCTGCATGGCGGGCGCCGCCTGCGGGAGGCGGGCCAGGGCGACCTCCCCGCCTTTGACGCCGGCGAGTTCATGTCCCAGGCCGCGGGCTGGCTGGGCGCCGGCGTCGCGTTGTCCCTGCTCCTGGGCGCCGCCTTCCTGCGCCTCTTCCAGCACCTGCCGGAGACCATGACCCGGGCCACGGTGCTCATCCAGGTGGCCGCCCCGCTGGCGGTGGGCGCTGGCATGCTCGGCTCCGGCCAGGGCCGCGCCTCGCTCCTGCCCCTGGGTCTGGCCGCGCTGTCCGGCCTGGCCTTCTACCTCTGGCGCGCCGAGATCGGGCTGGCCTCCCGTCTGCTGGGCGTGTCAGCCCACGGCCTGGCCGCCAACCCCCACCTCATCACCACCTCGGTGCTGCTGGGCGTGGCCAGCGTGGCCACCGCCACGCCCCTGGCCGCCGCCCTCGTGCTGTCCTTCATGAACGGCGACGTGGTGCCCAATCCGGGGCGCGACCTGGCGGCCGCCGGCGGTGCGTGCCTGGACGAGGCCGGCGACCCCGTGCTCTGCTGCGCCTGGGGGGTGGACCCCTGGGTCAAGCCCGCCGCGGCCCTCGGCGCGCTCGCCATGCTCTGGACCCTGCTCCTGGCCAACCAGGTGCGGGTCTACGTCATCTCTGGCACCGTCGCGCAGTGGTACTTTGCGCCGCCGGGCGCGCTGCATGCGACGCGCGGCACCACGCGATGCGCGCTGGGCCATGCCTTCGGGCCCAGCTTCGGGTCGCTGGCCCTCTCCTCCCTCGTGCTCACCATCACTGAGGCCCTGCGCAACAGCGCGGAGAGGTGAGGGGGTTGGTGTCGGTTGGTTTGGTTGATGTGTGTGTGGAGGGGGGTGGAGGATCAATATTGTGCTGCGAAGCTGGGGGCAATAATTGAGTGTGGAACCTGGAGGCATGCATTGGCAAGCAAATGTACTCTAGCACCAAGCGGATTGGAGGGTTGGCACTGATTATGTTTGGATTGTGGTTTGAGTGTGCTCTCCGCATGTAGGTTTATTCGACCATGTGATGACAGCCAGCTATCAGACCAACAACATGTCCTTCTCCCTGCCCACCTCCAGGAATGCCCAGGAAAACCAGGATGTGCTGTCGTGGGTGATGTCCTGCATTGCCCAGTGCCTCGCGGGGATCGTTGAGTACCTCACCAAGGTACCATGACCGACTGGTTCTTTGTGTGTGGGGGGGAGGTGGCCTTTGCAGTGTGAGGAATGGGGGTTGCCTGATGGGTTGTTGAGACTACCAGAGCATGACAGCTTGTTGTGCATCATGTGTGATGAGGTCCTACCGCTGACCTTGCAGCAATGGTGCGTAATGGATGTTCACTGCATGTATACAACATCCGCTTCCAACCATCCTCCATCCCCATAATTCATTTCCCCCCTCTTCCCACTTTGCGATGCAGTTTGCCACGGTGTTCATGGCCATCACCGGCGACGCTTTCTTTGCCGCGGGGCGACGCGTCACCGACCTCCTGGCACGCAACCTGCTGGACGCCTTTGCCTCCACCATCTGGTTTACGCCCATGGTCATTCAGCTGGCGGCCTTCAGCATGGCGGTGGGCTGGGGCTTCGCCTCTGGCGGTGTCTACTACCTGGCCCACCGCGGTGCAGCGGCGGGGGTGGAGGCCTCCCCCGGCCTGAATGCCGCGGTGCTGGGTGGCATGGTGGGCCTGGCTTCGCTCTTCCTCCTCAACTTCCTGGGCGGCGTGCTGCTGGCGGTGCTGGACGCGGCCTTCGTCTGCTGGGCGCTGGACCGCGACGCGCAGAGTGTGAGCCACCCGGAGATCGCACAGGCCTTTGACGCCGTGCCGCGCAAGGGCGCGGTGGTGGAGCAGCCCGGCGGCGGGCTGGCCTACGGAGGCCTGGCGCATGAGGCCCCCGCCCAGCAGCGCGTGTGAGGGCCGGTGGAACGGGCGGAATGATGGGGCCAGTAGCTGCTGCCGCCCACCTGGTTCGCCACGTTCCAGCTCTATCACTTCAGGATACCCTCCCTTTTGCTGCCCCTTGCACAAGGCTAGGGGCGCACAGTGACGTGCAGTGTACAGCGTGCGTCGTCCCGCGACGCACGTTCCCCGCATGCCCTGCCCTGTATTACAACTGAAATGTTTATGAAAGAATGCCCCTGAACAAGGGAGCCACTGCATCAGATGAGGGAGAACTTAGGGGGTTCCTTGATACGATCAGACTCCTCCACGGGCTGAGTGAGGAACACGCGGGTGGGGTCATTGGGGTCCACCAGTGCTGTGCGGAGGAAGGTCGGCGGGGTTGGCTCGGAGGTCTCCTCGTGCGGCGCGCTGGCAACGTCGGCCGGCGCGGGCGCGGGTGGCTCGGATCCTCGGCGCTGCTGGGCGTAGGCCCGCACGTAGGAGTGGAAGAGGGGGAGGAAGGTGCCCACGCCCCCCTTCTTGAAGTAAATAGTCCACCGGATGGGGGTCCCTTGCCCGGGACCCTGCTCCACCGTCCAGCATTGACCTACGGTGTCGGCTTAGATTCTCAGCTGGGAAACCATTGCAGACTGAATAAGGTGATGGAAGTGAGGGATGACAAACACACTGGGGGAAAGTTCTTGCAGGCAGCGCAGTCTCAGCTCCCTTCCCATGTTGCCACAGCAGCACATCCAGCCCCCACCTCTCAACCTCCCGGCCACAGCCAAGCCCACCTTTCAGGTTATTGCATCCCAGGATCGGCTGATGGAAGGAGTGTTGGGTGATGTAGGACAGGGGCAGGTCGTAGGCCACCAGCCCCGTGGCAGCATCCGGAACCTCGGCCACGAAGACCATGCGCAGGTTGGTGATGAAGATGGTGCCCCGCCGATCCCAGCGGTCCGGGCCCTGGGGATGGCCATCTATACGTATGTCCACGCCTGATCGCGCCAAACCGATCCACTCGCTGGCGTATGGGGCCGGCACGAGACCCTGGGGAGATTCCACCAGCGGAGGATTTGCTGCCATGCTGCAGATTCGAAGATCTGTAGGAGGACTCTGCGTGTGCTGCTTTTGCTGTTCAAGTATAGTATGTGATCACCCCTTTCGAATGAATAACCACTTCAGGCTCGACTACTGATTTGTGGCTTCAGCGCTCCAGTCCGCCCCGGAACAGCAATGACTCTCCGCGCGCGTTTCTGTGCGGCCGTGTATCGCATGCAGTATTCAGAGCACTAACAACGATGAAGCTCCCATGCCACATTTACTCTCCTTAAAAACTTAAATCCTTGGCAAAACCCGAATGTATACAGCACCATGCGCGACCCACCAGATGGAGAGCGCCATGAAATCTTCTGCAGGCCGCAACACAAGGAGCCCACCCGCCACCTGCGCCTGAGTGGGTGTGGGCCGGGCCTGGGCTGTGATCCTGAGAGGGTATACGCTCAGCTTCTTGCTCCACTCCATTGCGTCCGCGTGGCTCCTTCAGAGACAGGACAGGCCCACATATACGCCACATTCCCTGACCCTGAGACGGCCAATGCTGCTCTTGTAGCCTTGCATGGCCAAGAGTACAATGGTAGGACATTGGGCGTGAAGTTTGCTGAGACAAAGAGGATGAAAAAGGTGCGTTGCTTGCGAATCTGCACTGTGGGTAAGCGGGTGGGACCTGTCCTTGCCTGAGGGCCATGCTGCAGACTTTCCACACAGGCATCTACTCTCACCATGCTTGCTCATGCATGCTCACCAGGAGTACATCTTGGACATCAACACCCCTTTCTCACAACACAAATGCGTCATCCTGTGCAGGGATCTGCGCCATCCCATCTAGATGCTTTGATGTCGGCCTCCCAGGCTGGCATTCCAGGACTGGACCTCATCTTGGAATTCGTCAGTACCCAGGAGGAAGTCGAGCTGCTGGCCCTCGTGGATGCCCAGCCCTGGGAGTACCTGGCCAAGAGGCGGGTGCAGCACCATGGCATGCGATTTGAGTATGCTGTGAGTGGAGGTGGGGCCTGTTGCAGTGCGATGTGAGTGGAACGCACGGAATCGACAGGTTGACTTGAAATTATTTCTTTCAAGCCCTTGTGCAATGCATCTTCTCCATCCCCCGCATACACAACAGACACGGCACGTGGAGGTGGGCGCTGCGCAGGCGCCGCTGCCACCCGCCCTCCATGACTTTGTGGCGTTGCGCTTAGCCCCGCGGATACCCGGCTCGCAGGTGCAGACCGCAAATATAATCCTACGTAGTGTGGGGCCTCTGCTATGATGAATTACCAAGCAGAATTGGCCAGTGCAGTGGCACAAGGTGCTCGTACGGGCAAATCCAGTGCACCCATCGCCCACACCCCTCCCCCTGTCCCCCACATGCGCAACAGGCGCTGGATCAGGTGACGGTGAACGAGTATGTTGCTGGCGTGGGCCTGTCGCCCCACGTGGACACCCACTCCGCATTTGGGGACACCCTGCTCTCCCTTTCCTTGGCCGGCCCTTGCGTCATGGTGTTCCGGAAGGAAGGCCGTGCTGACGTGGCGCTGGCTCTGCCCCCACGGTCCCTGCTGGTCCTGCAAGGCGAGGCGCGGCATGCCTGGTGCGCAGGGTGTGTGGTGGTTTTGGTAACCAGCTCCAGGAATTGATGTGGATGGGAGGAGCGAAGGCAAGACGGGGTTTGTGCACATCTATGCGCAGCACTCCACGACATTCTTTCTGAGGAGTGCTCCCGGGTCCTCTTCCGATTGCCATCGCAGGCAGCACTACATTCCTCACCGAAAATCCGACATGGTGGGAGGGGAGGTGGTGCTGCGTGCCGAGCGCCGTGTGTCCTTCACATTCCGTCAGGTGGGTGTGTCTGTGCCGGGGGGCGGCGGCTCGACGTGCACCCCGCCGGTCCTTGCTCTCCTTGTCGCACTGTCCCTTGAGTGAGCCTGTCGTGCATGCATTGATGTGCGAAGGCTGCATGCTCCTGATGGACTGGAGGCGAGGACAGGTAGCCCTGCCAGAGAACCCTTGCCTGGCTGACCTGGTAAACCCCTCCCTTCTGCAGCCCCTCCTACACCCTGCACACTACCACCCCTGCAGGTCCGGCAGGAGGGCGACCCCTGCAGCTGCCCGTTCCCCGACCAGTGCGATAGCCAGGGCGCAGGCATCCCCCCCACCAGAATGGCAGCTCAGCGTGCACAGTGCGGGGCTGGGGCTGGGAGCACGCTGGAGGACGACCACGTGAACGGCGTGTACAACGCGATAGCACCCCACTTCAGCGCCACAAGGTGGGAGTGAGGGGATGCAGACAGGGGGATAGCAGGGGAGCATGTCGGCATTGTCTGGAAAGGGGGCCACTGGGGAAAGAAGGGGGGGGATTGCTGCGCTGCACACAGGAGAAGCCGAGCCGAGCGTCCTTCATAATGCGGCCTTATCCCCCATCCTCCTAGGAGCATGGATTCCAAAGACACATTCCCCTCCCCCCCTTTCAAATACCCCTTCTAAATAATAGATTTGCAGTGTGGCCCAAAGTGCGCGAATTTGTGATGGCCTTGCCCCCCGGCGCCTTGGTGGCCGACGTGGGATGCGGCAACGGCAAGTATTTTGGCCTCCGAAGCGACATTTTTGTCCTGGGCACTGACAGGAGCACAGGTGGGCGTATATGCGTGGACTGCTGGGGCTTGTTCCGGCCAGTGCTACTGTTTCTCATGTTGTATAGATCGGTACTCAGAGAGGATGAGCCGTCTCTTTTGAACATGGACACATGACCATCCATGCTGAGAATTTCTCCTCCCCCCCCCCACCAGAATGGCAGCTCAGCGTGCACAGTGCGGGGCTGGGGCTGGGAGCACGCTGGAGGACGACCACGTGAACGGCGTGTACAACGCGATAGCACCCCACTTCAGCGCCACAAGGTGGGAGTGAGGGGATGCAGACAGGGGGATAGCAGGGGAGCATGTCGGCATTGTCTGGAAAGGGGGCCACTGGGGAAAGAAGGGGGGGGATTGCTGCGCTGCACACAGGAGAAGCCGAGCCGAGCGTCCTTCATAATGCGGCCTTATCCCCCATCCTCCTAGGAGCATGGATTCCAAAGACACGTTCCCCTCCCCCCCTTTCAAATACCCCTTCTAAATAATAGATTTGCAGTGTGGCCCAAAGTGCGCGAATTTGTGATGGCCTTGCCCCCCGGCGCCTTGGTGGCCGACGTGGGATGCGGCAACGGCAAGTATTTTGGCCTCCGAAGCGACATTTTTGTCCTGGGCACCGACAGGAGCACAGGTGGGCGTATATGCGTGGACTGCTGGGGCTTGTTTCCGGCCAGTGCTACTGTTTCTCATGTTGTATAGATCGGTACTCAGAGAGGGTGAGCCGTCTCTTTTGAACATGGACACATGACCCTCCATGCTGAGAATTTCTCCTCCCCCCCACCCCATCCAACAATCCCGCACAAGCACTCTGCTCACAGTTCCCCCTATTCCCCCCAATAATTTTCAAAAGGTCTGGCGGGAGTGGCATCCCAGCGCGTCTCTGGAGGTCCCATGCGCGGGCTCCAGGGCTCTTTACGCGCTGACGTCGCGGCCGCGGACGCCCTGGCGCTCCCCCTGCGCCCTGCCTGCATGGATGGCGTCCTGTGTATCGCAGTGCTCCATCACATGAGCACCGTCGCCCGACGGCTGGCCCTGCTCCACCAGCTGCTGAGCACGCTGTGCCTGGGTGAGCGCTGAGGGCTTGGAGGGGAGGGGTGGATTGCAGATCTTGGAGGCTAGATTGAGGCGCAGGGTGCAGGACCACCCCTGCCCAGCATCTGAAGGTTTTCCTCACTAGTATGGGCGCGCGGGTGTGGCGCGTTGGTTGGATGACTAGAGACTTTGGTACTGCAGGTTCCCAGTGCAACTCCTGGAAGGCCATCGGTCCTCACTGTCTGTTCCCCTCGCAGGCGGCCGCGCCCTGGTGACCGTGTGGGCGACGGAGCAGGAGGGCATGGCCCGGAAGCTGGAGAAATGGGCGCCCCTGCCCGGGTCGGAGTCGGAGGCAAACGACTACCTGGTGCCCTGGCACGTCCCCATGCACCGGGCCGAGGCGGCGGCCGCCGCTGCCCGGCCCAGTGCGGTGCTGGACGGCAAGAAGAGCACAGTGTGCTTCCAGCGCTACTACCACCTCTTCCGCCCGGGGGAGCTGGAGGGGCTGGTGAGGCAGGTGCCGGGCGCGCAGCTCCTGGATGCCTTTTATGACAAGGACAACTGGTGTGTGGTGTTTGGAAGGTTGTAGTGTCAAATCAGCGCTGGCAGGTGAGGGCAGGCGTCCCCCTTCACATCTGGTGGCCGGACCGCGTCACGCCCAGCACGATCCAAAATACGAAACTGGGCGCGCCCGCGGGGTGGCACGGAGATCTTGACGCGTCGAGGCCCGATTCCATCATCGTGCGCCGCGATGGGCCTGTCTCATGTACCAAACCTGTGATGCAGGCATCTCAGGTCCCGGATGCCCTCCTCCCGCTGCAGCAGGGGGAGGAGGTCGCCCTCCAGGGCGGGGCATCCTCCAGCGACAGCGTGGTGATCCACCCATTCCTGCACTCCCCGCTGCCCATGCTGCCGGAGCCCCTGGACTTTGGGATTGAGCTTGATGCGTTCATTGTACCTTCTCGCAAGAAGGCCGGGCGACGCGGTCTGCGCCTGCTCACCCAGGCACGGCAGGACCTGGGGGCGGAGCTGGCCTCCTCGGCCGCCCTCGGCAGCTCCATGCGGGTTGACGTGGTGCAGGCGCGGTATCTGGGCCTCCTACTGGCCCTGATCGGACAGCAGGATGCGGAGAAGGGGGGAGGCCTCGACCCAGGCAGCCCTTTCCGGTCCGCGGCCCGGTATGTCTGGCGCGGCGGTCCCCGACCCCACTGGGCCTCCAGCGACGCCATCCTGGAGGTCGTGGCCGCGCTCATGGCGAGGTCCACCGCCCTAATGCGCGCGGCGGCAGCAGCATGCGTCGACGCTGCCTCGGGTGTGAGGACGCCTGCCGCGATGCAGGTGGGCTGGGATGGAGCTGGTCCAGGACACCTGTTCTGGGCGAGGACATCCATGGACATGGATGCAGTGCAAGGGGTCACAAGATAGCGTCAGATTGTGCCAACTGTAGACGCAGAATGGCGGGTCACTTGGGCGCCCAACCTCCCTGTTGCTGGGCCTGGTCGGCCGCCCTGGAACCCCTCGGCGCAGACTTTAGGCGCCACCACCGATACGCCACCACTCTGCACCCACCCTGCAGGCATACAAGTACCTGTTGGCTGCTGCCGGGCAGCTGGAGACAGCTAAGGACCGCCTGCTGCCCCACCTCCCGCCTGAGGATCCCTCCGTCGCCGCAGAGGCGGCCGCTGTATCCGCCCTTTCCCAGCACTGCCTAGCCGAGGCGCAGTACCTCACCACCCTGCGTGCCATCGCCAAGGGCACCAGCCCCACCCTCATCGCCAGCCTGGCGGCCGAGGCGGCCTCGCTGTACGCCGCATCGAGCGAGGCGCTGGCGCAGGCCGGTGCGGTCGCCCCCAAGCTGGGCAGGTACGCGGAGTACCGGGCGGGCACGCTGCGCGCGCTGAGCCTCACCTTCATGGCCCTGGTCCAGTGGCGGTCGCCGGGGGGGCGGGCGGCGCGAGGGCAACCGCAGCAGAGGCCCTCAGGGTGTGGGCCGCCGCAAAGGCGGCGGCCACGGCCTATGATGCCGCAGAGCCACGGACGCTCAACCTGGACCATCGCCGCTCGGACGAGGTGGGTGCGGGGTGCGATGTGATGGACTTGAGTAGGTGTGCATGCACGTGGCAGGAATTATGGTGATGTCGCTGGATGACAGGCTGGTGAGCACTTGGTTACGGTGGGCCTTGGCTCACAGCAGCCACCATGTTGCACCTGGCCCAGCCGTGAGCCAACATAGCCTTCCCCACCCAAACCTCTCCCGCCCCAGGTCGTGCAAGGCATCCTGGAAGACACTGCACGTAGGGTGTCAAAGAACGGCGTGGATGGGTCGCCGGGCACACCGTCGGCCGCGCCCGCCATGCCAGGCGGTCAGCGATTAGTCGCCGCCGCGCCCTACTCCCTCCCGCCGCCAGACGTGACCTTTGCCTCCGACGTGGCTGGCTGGACGGCAGGCTCTGCGGGCGTGGGTGCAAAACAGGATGGAATCGCCGCTTCAACAGCGCCTGCCGGCACCAGTACATGCAGGGCCGGGGCTCCCGCCGCGCAGCCGCCTCCGCCGCTCATCGGCACCAGCCCGCGGCCAGACGCCTCCCCCTCCTGCGGCCGCTGGCTCCTCTTCTGCATTGCCGCGCCCCTCTTCGCCCTTGTATCGCTGGTGGGCATGCTGGTCTGGCTCCTCCTCCTCCCCTTCAAGCTGCTGTGCCTTCCCTGTGGCTGCGCGGCGCAGCTGGCGGCCAGCGTCGTGGAGGGCCTGGTGAAACTGCCGCTGCGGGGCATGCTGTGGGCCTCCGGAAAGCCGTACGCGTCGGGCCAGGGACCCAAGGGGGCCGTGGTCTATGGTCGTTGACCCCTGTGTAAACCTACTGCTGCACCGCGCCCAGCTGAAACCCACGTGGGTCCGGTGGGCTCGAACTGCAGTGTTGCTGGCACGGCGCATTTTGGGTGTAGCCTCCTCCTCCACCGCGAATTGGAGTAGAATAAAGAAATATCAGACATCACCATGTCGCAGTTCAGCCTGCTGCCCTCCGCACGGGGCGCTCCCACACCTCGGTCCGCGGGTCTCACCCGGGCGGCACATGGCCCCTCTGTTCGGACGGGACTGGCGCCTCGACCATTTGCACGGCCAGGTCTTGGGAAGGGATCGCGACTGAACTCGAGGTGACCGCGGTGCGGATCGGGCATGGGTCGGGATTGGTCCCATACGGGGGGCTGCACCCTGTTCCTGACTTGTGCACTCCCTGCAGGCAGCCGTGCCTAAACCATAACGATCCCCTGCGCATGCCTTCCCCCACATATCCTATGAGCCTTGGAATTCCTCTATGTACCAGGTCTCAGGCCCCATTGGCCTCCACGGGAGGTGGTGGGTATGCTGGTAATGGCGGGGGTGCGGGGTACGGCGGCAGCGGCGGCTCTAGCTGGGGCGATGAGGGCTCAAACCAGCCCGAGCCGGAGAAGAGGGTTTTGTGGAAAGGATGGTCGGACCGCGTGGCCGCCGACCCCCAGTTCACCTACAAGGTTGCCGTGGAGCAGGTCAGGAGCGATGCCTGCTGGGTCAGGGTCGGGGACGTGCCGGGCTGGCCGGGCTGGGTATTTCCTCCTTGTGGCAATCAACACATTTGTATCCTTTCATTTTCATCCCAACCCCACAGATCCTGGGCGTGGGATCGGCCGTGATCGGTGACATGGCCTCCCGCCCCAACTGGGGCCTGGATGAGCTGGACTTTGTGTTTGCCACCCTGGTCGTCGGCTCCATTGTCAACTTTGCGCTCATGTACCTGCTGGCCCCCACCGGGGCCGGGGGCACCGCCGCCGGGGCGAGCCTGGTCACTAAGCTCTTCAGCGACCACTACCTTAAAGCCTGGGGGGCGCCAGGTGTGTGTTTATTGTGTGGGGAGGAGGTTCGAGGGGGTGCGATGCTGTTGTAGGATGAACACAGAATGAATTGCTCTTGTGCGCAGCATATCCCGCTGTGAACAGGCTCGACCTTTGATGCCGGCACCCGTCCCCGGCGCCACAGCTAAGAGTAGACTTCAACCTTGAAGGCCTGCGCCGCCCACCAACCCGTGCCTCCCTGCAGGTGGCCACATGTTTGAGCCGGGCTTTGCCGTGACCGCACGCCTGGTGAACTTTCTATACAAGGGCACCATCTTTGCCGGCATCGGCATGGCCGCAGGGTTGGGGGGCACCTTTCTCTCCAACGGACTGCTGGCCCTGCGGTGTAAGCTGGATCCCTCCTACGTCAACAAGGTGGGGTGGGGGTGGGGGGGGCACTTTGGGGGTTTCAGAGGGCACCTCTGGTGCGGCTGGGTCTCTGACAGTGCAGCAGCGGGGGATGCTCCCCAGGAGCTCATGATGAATCCCGCACAGTAGCCCATCATGACGCCGACCTCGCCCCACCCCCCCCCAGAACACACCTCCCAACGTGGTTGCCAACGCGGCGTGCTGGGCGGGGCACATGGGCTTCTCCTCCAACCTGCGCTACCAGATCCTGAACGGCTTTGACATGGTGCGCTGGGGCGGTCTCGGTGTGATAGGGATAGGGTTGGGGTGTCGGACTTTCGTTCTGTGTGCGCAACGGGGAGTGATCGCAGCTAGGGAGGGCTCCATGCCCAGACTCTCTAGCACAGAGCAGCAGCATCTGGCCGTCGACCTTCAGCCGAGTGGATTATTTATTCTCGACGCCGATACTCCAGCCCCACACCCCACTGTCCACTCGCATTCCCTCACTCGCCTGCGCAGCTCGTCCAGCCGGCGATCCCCAGCGGCATCTTCCGCATCCTGACGTCGGTCATCCGTGCGGGCAATAATGTGGCGGGGGGCATGTCCTTTGTGCTCCTGGCCAAGATCTTCGGCGTCCAGAAGGCTGCTGGCGCCGAGGACGTGGCCGACAATGTGGAGAAGAACGTCGAGAAGCTGGCGTGAAGTCGTGGGTATGTCGCCTGAGATCAATGTCGCCACTCCCCTCCCGGATCGTGCCCTCCCTGTTTTTGTAGCTCCCCTCTGAGAGAAACATGACCCTTGCTACTGGGCACGGCCCTCTGTCGGCCGAGAACATGCCCACTTTGGTTGCAGCTGCGTCTTGAAAATCTAATCAAACTTCTCAACAGAGGTATATTGGGATTGGGAAACATATAGGTAGATAGGGAGAGATTCACTAAGAGGGAGCCTAGTGGGGGGCTCCATCGTTGGGATTTGCCAGATGTATGACCCATCCCCCGAGCAGCGCGCGCGATCCAGAACCCTGAACGAAAACATGGTCTCGCACAACGATGTCACGTTAGTCGCCGATAGTCATTACATACATTTTTTTATTGGACTTGGACATCAGCAACATCCTTTTCCTATCCGCTCGGCGCATGTGCCGGTCACCTACCATGCAAGATGCCGATGTTTGGGGCGACGACTCGCCCACGGATGCCGGGCAGCTGGAGAGAGAATGGCAATCGAGACGCGAGGGACATTACAATGCTGGGTTTCTCGAAGGTCTAGAGGTCGGCAAGCAGGAGTCTGTGCAGGCCGGATTCGACTCAGGTATATAAGAACGTTCAGACAGGTGGGGTTAGAATCACTGACCAAACTGATGGGCAGATGTGAATGCACTCTAAAAATGCTTTCATTGTTTAATTGCAGGATTCATGGCCGGGGCTGAGGCAGGGCGGGCGTGGGGAGAGAGGGCTGGAGCCCTCCTTAGTCTGTCTGTGCTGGGAGCTTCATCAGGTCCGGAACAGGCAGCTCTGGAGTCCTTGGTGTCCAGAACGACCCACGCAGCTCTGGCTCCGCTGGTAGTGCCCACTCTAGTTGATTCTCAGGAAGGCAGCCAATCTTCGGAGCTTGTAGCACTTCAAACAAGGGTGACAGCTGTCCTGGAAGCAAGATCCCCGGGCGCATGATGGCTCCGCTGGGTGCGAGCCCCTCTTGGCCGCAGCATTGCTGGACCTGCAGTGGCAATCGCAGCAAGCCATCCTTGAGCATGTAGGGATTTTGAGGACGCCAGCAAGTGGCCAAGCCTAATGGGCTTCCTCACCTATTTCAAGGAGGATGCCCCCCTTGCCATGTGGTGCAGTGCCACTTTGGCTGGCAGGAGTCGAGCACTTCAGCAGACTGCCAGCCCCATGAGAATCGCGACCTAGTCAGGCCATGGAGCACGGCACCATCAAGACTGCGGCATCATCGGCGACGCCCATGCAAGCAGCATGTGCTGTCTCCTATGGCCATGGGGAAGCTTGCAGTCATGCCGTGAAGCCAGAGATCTTCAAGAAGTGTGCGTATGAGCAGGCCTAAGGCATCTGTCTCTGCACATGTCCTTCTGAAAGACGTGCAGGCATTGCAGGATATTTTGAGTTTCAGCTGCTGCTGCAACCTCTCCAGAGGAGATGGGTCGGCCCATGGAGTGTCACTGTAAGCAAGCTGAAATCAAGAGACAGAAGGAGTCAATATGGGCAAGCCCACACATTATGAGCATACTCGCCCAACAGTAGTCTACCAGCACCGTCTCATTGCCAGTTCCTGGTCTTAGATTGCCCAGCACACATGGGGCTGTAGGGTCAGGTGGCTACCTGCATAAGAGCGCTGGACCTGGCAATTATATTTCTCGTCAATGAAGGGGCCTGCAGAGTACACTATCGCGCATGCAGCCTGTCCAGACGGGTAGGATTCCGCAGCATGGGCGTCATTTTGTTCTCCCTCCTGTGGGCAGCTCAGCTCACCACTGAACATTCAAGGTCTTTGAAATCTCTGGGGATGGGCTTCGTTCCGCGCTCAGCGCGGTCTTCGAATTTCCGCGGTGAGTTTTGCTTTTGCAATCCTCGAGGGATTGAAATCATACATTGATTGTCCACCCTCACTACTATTTATTAGCTGATGTCCGATCTTACAGCCTGAGCAGCATTTGGGGCCCTCCGGCTCCCGGGGAGAAGCATGGCGGATGAGGGCGTCGTGATCAAGTTCAAGTGGAGAAGCACGATCTACGACATCGTCACCCACCCCCAGGAGTCGGTGGATGGTCTGAGGCGCAAGGTGGAGGCAGCCACCAGCGTCCAGCCCAAGCGCCAGAAGCTGCTGGGACTGAAGGGCAAGGATGGCAAGGCCCCTACAGATGCCACCCTGGTCAAGGACCTGGCTCTCAAGGCCAACGTCCCCATCATGATGCTGGGGTAGGCAGTTGTGACTGGGTGGACTCTTTGAGGAATGCACTGTGTCAACATCGATATGCTTCTGTGGACACGACCCCTGCCTGGCATCGCTGTCATGGCGCTGCAGTTCCATTCTCCCCCCTCGTATCCCCCACACCCGGGGCCCGCATGCAGGGCACCTGAGGAGAACATTGCTGCCCTGGACGCGCAGGCCGAGGTGGCGCCGGCGGTGCAGGACGACTTTGACCTGGACCCCCCCGCCTCCAGCCTGGACCCGCGCGACATCCGCGACGAGCCCGGGGTCCGCGAGCGGCTGGCCCGGCGCGTCGCCCGCACCGAGGTTAAGGTGCTGCAGGCCCCCAGGCCTGGCAAGAAGCTGCTGGTGCTGGACATTGACTACACCCTCTTCGACCTGGGCTCCTCCGCTGAGCGAGCCGACCAACTGGCGAGGCCCTTCCTGCACCACTTCCTGACGCTCGGTACGCAGAGCTTGGCTGGGAGGGGGGTTGGTGGCTAGGCAGGGGCTGGGAGCGTCACAAGGCAACTTGGGAATGTTGCTCTTGGGACGGCTGAGACCCTGGCGAGTTTTGACCTGGTCCTAGTTTGCATAGAATGACATTGGGGAGTTTGGTCCTTGGTTTCTCAGCCATTGGGTGTCTACGCCTTGCTCATCACACATCCTCCACCCTTATACCCTTGCGATATCATCCAGCGTATGCGCACTATGATGTGAGTTGGATTTGGACTGGCTGCAGCTAAGCAAGGGGTCTCGTTGGTCTCCACTACCTGCCAGCTGGGGGAAATAAACACATCACCATTGCAGGGACTGCATCCTCTGGACGTGAACAGTGCCAAGTCTCCACAAGTCCTACAATCCCGCTCCTCGGCCATGCCCCCTCCAGATTGCGATCTGGTCGGCCACCTCCATGAAGTGGATCGAGGTGAAGATGCGGGAGCTGGGGGTCTCCACCCACGAGCAGTACAAGCTGACGTTCATGCTGGACCACATGGCCATGGTCACGGTGCACCATGAGAAGCACGGTGCGTTGTTATGGAGGTCTGAGGGTGGACAAAGGGGCCTGTACCACCGGCGAGTGCGCAGGCCCTTCATGCAGGGGGGGGGAGTTGGACTCTTACACGTTTTGAGGGTCCTGCCAGTGCCGCAAGTTGGCCACCACCCCCGGCCGCGAGGCGAGCAGCGAAGGCCGCCCACCGCCCCTCCCTGCGCACCCTGCCTCAGGCGTGTTTGACTGCAAGCCACTGGAGTTTGTCTGGCAGAAATTCCCGGGCGTGTACACGCCCGAGAACACCATCATGATGGACGACCTTCGGCGCAATTACATCCTCAATCCCCAGGTGCAGTGGGGCGGGGCCTCTGGGGGCGGGGGGTTTCCTCTGGGGCTGCTGTGGGATATGCATAGTAGACGGCATGTCGGATGTACAGCCGAGATCTGGTGTGCTCCGCCACTGTGAACAGTCGAATAACCTTGCAAGTCCCACTGCCAGAGCGTGCACCATCCCGACTCCGCCCCATGCAGAACGGCCTGGTCATCCGTCCGTTTCGCAAGTCCCACCGATCCCGCGACACCGACCGCGAGCTGCTCTTCCTGGGAGCCTATCTCCAGAAGATCGCGGCGCTGGAGAGCCTGTCCGGCCTCGACCATGGGGCCTGGGAGGCGTACGCCGCGCAAGAGATCCGGGCGGCGCTGCGGGACTTCCGGGACGCCCGCGCCGCCGCCCTGTCCTCAGCGCCGCCCGGGCCCGAGGCATGATGAGGAATGGGGGCGGCGGACTCCCGCGCGTCCCTTTCGGGGCGCTGGTCCTTTTCTAAGCTTGAGCTTTGTGCATCGGCTCCTTTTTATGAATGTGATACGGTCTGCACCAAGTGCATGCCCCTTGGAGCGGCAGCCTGACTGCCACGCACGCCCATGCGCGGTGGCGCAGCCACCAGTACCATTTGAGATCACGACTCGGATTTTCTCTGCCTTGCCTGGGCCCGCGAAACTCTGGCCCCTATTGACCCAACCTTTTGCAAGCGAAAATTCTTCAGCTCATCATGAGGCAGTGGGCGCTCGAGTCCTGTGTGAGGCCCTTGCTTCCCTCCATCAGCCGCGCAGCAGGCCGGTGAGCCGAGTGGGCAGCCCCCACTTGCCCTGCGCCAGCCAGTCTCCCCCGCCCCCGCCGCCCTCGCCGCCCCGCGCCTCGGCCTCCACCACGCGCGCCATGCCGGCCACGATGGCGCCAAAGGACGGCCGCTCAATGGGGTCGGGGTGGAAGGCGGCGTGCAGCAGCCCCGCCAGCTCCTCGGGGCAGTCGCTGGGTATCTCCGGGCAGAGCGTGCCCGCCCCCACCTCCATAGCTACCTGCACGGGGGTGAGGTGCAGGTCCGCGTAGGGCCTGCGCTGACTCAGCAGCTCCACGGCCATCACTCCCCAGGACCAGACGTCGCTGCGAGGGCCGTACACCTCGTGCCGCACGCACTCGGGGCTCATGTAGCTGTAGGTCCCGGTCTCGCCGGTCAGGCAGGCCGCCAGCGCCCGGCTCCAGCACGCGGGCCAGGCCCATGTCGGCCACCTTGGCGGCGCCGTGCGCGTCCAGGAAGACGTTGGAGGGCTTGAGGTCGCGGTGCAGGACGGGCGGGTCCGCCGCCTCCAGCGCCAGCATGCCCCCCGCGACGTCCAGCAGGGCCTGCAGGCGCGCGCGGCGCGGGCGGCGCGGCGCGCGCAGCGCGCCCGGCGCGCCGTGCAGCCAGGCGGCGAGGGTGCCCCCTGGCAGCAGCTCGCACAGGAGCCAGGCGGCGCCAGGGTCCGCTAGGCACGCGCCCCACAGGCCCATGACGTGCGGGTGGCGCAGGCGGCGCAGCGCCGCCACCTCGCGCAGGAACATGGCGCCCCCCTCCGCGTCGGCCACGCGCACGCGCTTGACCGCCACCGCCGCGCCGCGCCAGGTGGCGCGATGCGTGGTGCCAAAGGTGCCCTGGCCCAGCAGGGGGCCCAGCGCCACCTCGCGCGGGTCCACCAGCCAGCCCTGCTCGCGGGCGCGGGCCTCTGCCTCGCGCCACGCGGTGCCCGGGAGCCAGGCCCGAAGCGCGGGGTCGTCATTTGCTGACCTGGCGCCGTCGAGTTCGAACCTGGGCGCGGCGTCGGCGGCGCCCGGCCCCGGCCCGGCCAGCGGCCCGGCGTCAGGCGGTGCCTCCAAGGGGCCCTCCCCCGCCGGGCCTGAGCCCACACCCAGCCCCGCATCGCGCCGGGCGGCGGCCAGCTTGCGGGACAGGAGGTGGATTCTCTGCTGGAAGGCCCCGCGCTCGCCCTCCAGCGCCGTCACCCGGGCCGTGAGCTTCTCCACCTCCCCGTTCAGGTGGGCGTTCACCTCATGGGCGGCCTGCAGGGAGATCTCCAGCTCCTCCACCCGCTGCACAGCACTGGGAGTGGGTTGGAGGGGGGGAGGGGAGGGTTGCATCCGCGGTAGACACCCAGCACTACATGTGCATCCGGTATCGGACAGTGTAATCATTGAGGTCACCTGATGTGCCGGACGGCGGTGGAGGGGCGAGTCTCCGTCATGCCCCGAAAGGAGCCGGGGAAGTGATCGCGTCCACCGTGTTGCAGGAATGAGCAGCTCGCCGATCAGGAGATGTAAAGAGGGAAGCCTGATCAGCGATGTGTTGAGCTTAGAGTCTGGTGCCAATCGTCACTACTGCCTCGACCGAACACCCCATGGCAAAGGTCTCTGCTGGGCAGTTCCGAGCAATCCAAAGTGCTCGTCTCTCCGGTTTGGGGGGCAGGGACGATCCACACATGGGGTCGACCGGTTGTAACAATTTCAGTGAGGAATAAGCAAAACAAAGTATTGATTTTAACACGAAATCTGGGTTCCCTTGCATGCATACTTACAAACCCCTTCGTCTGCAGCGTTTGCTCCGAGACCCCAGTCCAGCGAGGGATGTTCCGGTCTCCCTTTGCACAGGATCCAATCAAGTATGTATACTTGATATACATCAATGCAGATGCAAACTACCAGGCTCGAGCGGCACCACGATGGCCTGCCTCCATGATGCGATATGAGTCCTCGTCTCGTCATCCAGCAGCGGCAAGGAGGCCCCTCTTAACGTCATGCGTAAAATAAAACATTCTTGCCCATCACCCAAGCATTCCCTCGATTTCTCATCGATACACTCCTCCGACAATGACTGCGTCGCTGTCGTCGGCGGATCACCTGGCAAAATACTATGGGTTACACGGCAAAACCTGCCTGGTAACCGGGGGCACCCTCGGGATCGGCCGGGCTGTGGTAGAGGAATTCGCAATCCTGGGAGCCAGGTAAAATGTGCATGTGGAATATACATGCCAGTCGGGATGTCCCCCTACTGGGTTGAGATCTATCGTCCATTGTAGGTTGTGACGCGCACACACGAGGAAGCCAGTGCTGTTGCAGGGTCTTCACGTGTGCCCGCAAGGCCGATGCTCTGGAGAGCCTCCTGTCGGACTGCAAGGCCAAGGGCTGGAGCGTGGAGGGGATCACGGCGGATGTGGCTACACCCGAGGGCAGGGAGTCGGTCATGAAGGCGGCGTCAGCAGCATTAGGCGGACGCATCGGTGGGAGCAAGGCATTTGGTTGTTTGGTGTAGAGCGTGCATGGGGGATGGATCTTGGTGTGTCGACGTCCTTGCATGTCTGCTGTCTGCTGCACAGGCTCCAGGCCGGAGGAGGGGGGGGCACCCACCCACCACCAGCCCCCCAACCTAATCGTGCCCAGATGTGCTGGTCAACAACGTTGGCACCAACATCAGGAAGTCCACGCTGGACTACACCCCCGCCGACTTTGAGCGTATGATTGCAGTGAACCTGGAGAGCGCCTTTGCCCTCTCCCAGGCTGTGCACCCGTTCATGAAGGCCGCGGGCGGCGGCGTGATCATCATGATCTCCTCGGTGGCTGGCGGCCCCGTTGCGATGAAGTCGGGGGCGGTGTACGGCCTGACCAAGGCCTCCCTGAACCAAATTGTGATGAACTTTGCCTGCGAATGGGCTTCAGACGGCATCCGGGCCATCTCAGTCGCACCCTGGTGAGGGGTGGGATGACATGCACTTTGTGTGATGGATCACATCGACCATGGCATGTGCAGGCCTCCTGCCCTGAAGCTTAGCATGCTGGCAAGCCTCCATCCGATTACCACTCCCTTTCAGGTACACCGACACCCCGCTGGTGGAGAACCTGCTGGGGGACAAGGAGCTGCTGCAGCAGATCCTCTCCAGGACGCCGCTCGGCAGGGTGGCGCAGCCTGAGGAGGTGGCGCGGGTGGTGGCATTTGCGGCCTCCCCAGCGGCCAGCTACATCACCGGACAAACGCTGCGTGTGGATGGAGGCTACAGTGCGATGGGTCTTTACTAGCGACGTGTTTTTGTATGCGAGGAAGTTGATTTTCAGAGGCTGGGTAAGAATTGGGACCCAAACATAATGGGAGTGGAAAGGGCCCCAACCCCGCATTCCCGACATGACAACCTCTCAAAGACGAGCGCCAGGCGAGTGTGTAGCTCAGAGCGGGGCTGGTTACAGTAATCCAACCTTCTCTGGTCCATACCAGGACCGCGACACTCACTCCAGAGACCAGGGGGCAGGGGTGTGAGCCAGAGGAGGTGATTGTCGCTCGCGAGGGGTGCGCCCCCGGGGCTTGGCCCGTGCGCCCTCCCACACCATGTCCAACTATGAGAGCCACAGCACGGCCCCAGTGCGCAAGGTCAAGCGCCTGCAGTTCGGCATCCTGGACCCCGACTTCATCGTGCGCCTGGGATGGTGCTGGCGGTGTGGCTGTGCGCGTGACTTCTGGATCGTGACGGCCTTGGCCTCTGCGCGCATGGCTGGGTGGTATTTCGATGCGATCTATGGGAGTGATGGAAGCCCGCTTGGGAGGGCTGCTCGTCTGCGACGGTGCGTGGTCTCAGCTCGCATGAGTATGGGACTCCTTTTAAGATTGTTTCCCCATCCCCGCCCCTCCTCCCCAGCGTCGGTACTCCGTGGCCAAGATCGAGACCTCGCAGAACTATGACAAGGGCCGGCCCAGGCTGGGCGGCCTGAGCGACCCCCGCCTGGGCACCATGGACCGCGCCTTCAAGTGCACCACCGACGGCGCGGGCGTGCTGGACTGCCCCGGCTACTTTGGGCACATCGAGCTGGCCAAGCCCATGTACCACGTGCACTTTGTGCGCACGGTGATCCGGGTGTTGCGCTGCGTCAGCTACCACAACTCCAAGATCCTGCTCATGCCGGTGAGAGGGTAGAGGAGGAAAGGGGGGGTTGTCATTCTTGAGGCGTGGGAGCAGCACGCTGATGATCACATTCCTCGTGCGTGCCAGCATCAGCTCAAGCCTGGGTGCCACCCTCACTCATGCTATCACAGCCCCATCTAATACCACCCACCCATTATAAAACTCCCCCGCCCCCTCCCCCCCCCCACCACACCAGGACGACCCCAAGTACAAGATGCTGCTGCGCATCCGCAATCCGGAGCGGCGCCTGCACGCCTTCACCTCGCTGTGCCAGAGCAAGCGGGTTTGCGAGCACACGGGCGGCCCGCAGCCCATATACCGGCTGGAGTCCGGCACGCTGCGCGTGCTGGCGGAGTTCCCCGCGCCCAAGGCCTCTGACCTGGACGGCGCGCCGCTGCTGGAGAGCATGGAGCGCAAGCAGGAGCTGACGGCGGAGCGCGCGCTGGAGATCCTGCGCCGCGTCTCCGACGAGGACTGCGCCGCGCTGGGGTTCGACACGCGCTACACCCGCCCCGACTGGATGATCCTGCAGGCGCTCCCCGTGCCGCCGCCGCCGGTGCGCCCCTCCGTCCAGATGGACTCCAGCGCGCGGTCGGAGGATGACCTCACACACCAGCTGGGCGAGATCCTGAAGGCCAACCTGCGCCTGGCGCGGCAGGAGGAGGCCGGCGCGCCGCAGCACATCGTCTCCGAGTTCGCGCTGCTCCTCCAGGTGCACGTCACGGGGTACCTGGACAACACCGTGCCGGGGCTGCCCCAGGCCAAGCAGCGCAGCGGGCGCCCCATCAAGTCCATCTCCCAGCGGCTGAAGGGGAAGGAGGGGCGCCTGCGCGGCAACCTGATGGGCAAGCGCGTCGACTTCTCGGCCCGCACCGTCATCACGGGGGACCCCAACCTCGCGCTGGACGAGCTGGGCGTGCCCTGGGGCATCGCGCTGACCCTGAACTTCCCGGAGAGTGTCACGCCGCACAACATCGAGCGCCTGCGCGCGCTGGTGGAGAACGGGCCCTACCCGCCCCCCGGCCAGACGGGCGCTCGCTTCATCATCCGCGACGACGGCTCGCGCCTCGACCTCCGCTTCCTGAAGACCGAGCGGGTGTGTGTGTGTGTGATTTTGTGTTTTGTTTTGTGTGTGTGGGTGGGGTGTTTCAGAGGGGGATGTGAGGTGTGGAGGAGGGGCATGGAAGGTGTCATAGCATGGCATGCCGTCCAACAGACGGGGTGCATTGGAGTCGTGGTGCACAAGGGAAACCTGCATGCACCAGCACCCCCTAGCCACCATGCCAACCCCCAAACCACTCTGCAGGACCGGCACCTCCAGCCCGGGTACAAGGTGGAGCGCCACATGATCAACGGTGACGTGGTCATCTTCAACCGCCAGCCCTCCCTGCACAAGATGTCCATGATGGTGGGTGGGTGAAGTGGGAGGGGGGTCCGAGGGGGGTCTCTGGAGGGAAGTGCTCAGCACAGCACCCAGAAGGGGGACTGTGGATGGGGTCTGGCCCGGCAGCGTCGCTGGGTCCCAGGGGGACACTGGCGTTGCACTGCCGCGCGGCCCCTCCCCAGGGATGTCACTTCGTATGGCGGGCACTCAGTGCCCGCCGTCGAGCCGTGCTCAGACCCAGGCTGTCGTGATGTATCGCATGACGCTAGTCTCCTGCCCATCTCCAAAGCCTGCATCCCCCCCCCACCCACCACACACACACGCACCTCGTCAGGGCCACCGCGTGCGCATCCTGCCCTACTCCACCTTCCGCCTGAACCTGAGCGTGACCAGCCCCTACAACGCCGACTTTGACGGCGACGAGATGAACATGCACATGGTTCAGAGCCATGAGGTCCGGGCCGAGATCAAGGAGATCATGGCGGTGCCGCTGAACATCGTGTCCCCCCAGGCCAACCGCCCCGTCATGGGCATCGTCCAGGACTCGCTGCTGGGCTCGCGCCTGTTCACCAAGCGCGACACCTTCCTGGAGCGCGACCTGCTCATGAACGTGCTGATGTGGCTGGAGGGCTGGGACGGCGTGGTGCCCACGCCCGCCATCCTCAAGCCGCGCCCGCTGTGGACGGGGAAGCAGGTGTTCTCCATGTTCCTGCCGCGCGTGAACCTGCAGCGCCGCGCCGCCTGGTTCCGCGACGGCGAGCCGGACGCCATGTCTCCCGTGGACGCCCAGGTCATCATCCAGGACGGCGTGGTGCTGGCGGGCACGCTGTGCAAGAAAACGCTGGGCGCGTCGGCGGGGGGGCTGGTGCACGTCATCTGGATGGAGTGCGGGCCGGAGGCCGCGCGCGCCTTCCTCTCCCAAGTCCAATTCACCGTCAACCAGTGGCTGCTGCAGCACGGCTTCAGCATCGGTGAGGAGGGGGCGAGGGGGGATGAACACTTGGTGAGGGAACGGGGGCAGGGTCCTACTATGAGGAAGTGCATCTGGGTCCCACCGGGGATGGATCTGAGCGACAGGGCTTTGCGGAGCAGGGTGTCGTGAGTCACAGCCCTTGCGTTCCGTCCTTTCCCCCCACCCCCCCGTCAACCCCCCATCCCTCCATCACCTCCCTCCATCCCTTCATCACCCTCCCCATCCCTCCATCAACCCCCCCCCAACCTCCAAAGGCATCGGCGACCTGATTGCCGACGCGCGCACCATGACCATCATCAACGACATTATGGAGCGGGCCAAGGAGGACGTCAAGCGCCTGATCGGCAAGGTGCAGTCCAACGATCTGGAGCAGCAGCCGGGGCGCAGCATCATGGAGTCCTTCGAGAACCAGGTCAATCAGGTGCTGAACAAGGCGCGTGACGACGCGGGGAACCAGGCCCAGGGCTCGCTCCACGACACCAACAACGTCGTGCGCATGGTGACCGCGGGGAGCAAGGGCTCCTTCATCAACATCTCCCAGGTAGAGTGGTGTGGGTGTGTCTGTGTGTGGCCAGGGGGCGATGGTTCATGATCCTTGACACTTTAGCCTCTGCCATGCTGACGGTCGTATTTTGTATCGCATCTTGGATACTCACGTTTACACACATGTACACACACACATACGCACAATGAACACAAAACCACATCTGCAACCACAACACTATCAATCCCCCTGCTCAGATGATTGCGTGCGTTGGGCAGCAGAACGTGGAGGGCAAGCGCATCCCCTTTGGCTTCTCCCAGCGCACTCTGCCCCACTTTACCAAGGACGACTTTGGCCCCGAGTCGCGCGGATTCGTGGAGAACTCCTACCTGCGCGGCCTGACGCCGCAGGAGTTCTTCTTCCACGCCATGGGCGGGCGTGAGGGATTGATCGACACGGCGGTGAAGACCGCCAGCACGGGCTACATCCAGCGCCGCCTGGTGAAGGCCATGGAGGACCTGATGGTCAGGTGCGTGTGTGTGCGTGTGTGTGTGTGTGTGAGAGAGAGGGAGGAATAAAGATGCGGGAATGGGATTCGATGGGTGTCCGCCTTCCCTGGATCCCAGCTGCGCCCCCAGCCTGCTCCTCGAATTCCCATGCTCTGGCACCCGCAAATGTCCAGATCCTTGATCTCACCCGCCTCCCTTTGCATCACCTGCATCCCTCGCCAGGTACGACGGCACGGTGAGGAATGCGGTGGGCGAGGTGATCCAGTTCCTGTACGGCGAGGACGGCATGGAGGGCACGGCCATCGAGAGCCAGCGCATGGACTTCCTGCGCTACACGCCCAAGCGCTTTGCCGCCGCCTTCGCCTACGACCTGGACCGCGCGGCCTGGGCCCCTGACTGGCTCGACCCCGGCGAGCTGGAGGCGCTGCGCGCCGACCTGGACGCGCGCCAGGCGCTGGACGCCGAGCTGGCGCAGCTGGCCGAGGACCAGCGCACGCTGCAGCGCGAGGTCATGCGCGGCGGCGAGGCGGCCTGCAACCTCCCGGTCAACCTCAAGCGCCTGATCGAGAACGCGCAGCGCAAGTTTGCCTGTCGGCCCTACAGGCCGGGGTCCACCGGTGGGTGGTCTCTGGTGTGTGTGGAGGATGGGGGGGTTGAAGCGCGACAGGGTCTCGTCGGTGGCATCCACCAGAGGCCTGTGCAGCACGAGGCCGGGGGGGGCCACTCATGTGACGTGTCATGCGTGGCATTCTCAAACACCGTCCCGGCTCGAGCACTGCTCTTCCCGGGCCGACACACTCCCGCATGTCTCTGGACGGGTGCAACCCTCCCCACACATCCCCCTCAAAAGGCCTGAGCCCGCTGGTGGTGATCGCCAAGGTGCGGGAGCTGACCGAGAAGCTGCGCGTCGTGGGGGGCGCCGACCCGCTGTCTCGCGAGGCCCAGCGCAACGCGACGCTGCTCTTCTTCTGCCTCCTGCGCTCCACCCTGGCCAGCAAGCGCGTGCTGGCGGAGCACAAGCTCTCCCCCGACGCCTTTGAGTGGCTGGTGGGGGAGGTGGGCACCAGGTGAATGATGGGGTGGGGGGGAATGCTCTGTGATCCTCATCGTGACGACGATGTGCTGCACCTCTGGACAGACCAGCCTTCCCCGCAGTGGTGCCACATTGCCTGGTGGCACTTGTTTGAGCGCCCTCGAGCAAACCTCGCCCCCCTCCACCGAAACCCCATCCCCAAATCTGAAAGATTCATGCACGCGCTGACGGCGCCCGGGGAGGTGGTGGGCACGGTGGCGGCGCAGAGCATCGGGGAGCCGACCACGCAGATGACGCTCAACACCTTCCACTTTGCGGGCGTGTCGGCCAAGAACGTGACGCTGGGTGTGCCGCGGCTGACGGAGATCATCAACATTTCCAAGAACATCAAGACCCCCAGCCTGACGGTGCACCTGCTGGGCGAGGCGGTGCGGGACAAGGAGGCGGCCAAGGCGGTGCAGTGCGGTCTGGAGTTCACGACGCTGCGACGCGTGACCGCGGCCACGGAGATCCACTACGACCCCGACCCGCGCTCCACCCACCTGGCGGAGGATGCGGAGTGGGTGGCGGCGTACTGGGACCTGGCGGAGGGCGACGTGGACGCGTCGCGCATGTCCCCCTGGCTGCTGCGCATCGAGCTGGCGCGCGACATGATGGTGGACAAGAAGCTGTTGCTCAGCGAGGTGGCGGAGCGCATCAACTCCGGGTTTGAGGATGAGCTGCACTGCCTGTTCAACGACGACAACGCGGACCGCCTCATCCTGCGCATCCGCGTCATGGCCGACGAGGGCGCGGGCAAGGACGGCGGCGGCGAGGGCGAGGACGATGATGTGTTCCTGAAGAAGGTGGAGACCAGCATGCTGAGCCAGGTGCGGCTGCAGGGCGTGGAGGGCATCCGCAAGGTGTTCCTGCGCGAGGCCAAGCGCACGCGACTGGACGAGGAGGGCGGCCGCGGCTTCGTCCAGGACACCGAGTGGGTCCTGGACACCGAAGGTGGGTGTTCGTCGTCGTCGTCGTTGTTTTTTTGGGGGGGGGGGAGTAACAGGCGCAGGTGGGATGGCCAGCTGTGAGTTGGACGTGGGTCGGGCCCTGGGAGAGGCCAGTGTCTGGAACGCTGGTCCCCAGGACACTGCCCATGATCCCCCTCACATCCCGCTTCCCTACCCCCGTCCTGATCACAAACAACCCCACGCAACCGCCAGGCGTGAACCTGCTGGAGGTGATGTGCCACCCGGACGTCGACTTCAGCCGCACGGTGAGCAACGACGTGATCGAGATCCTGCAGGTGCTGGGCATCGAGGCGGCGCGCAATGCGCTGCTCAAGGAGTTGCGCGGCGTGATCGAGTTCGACGGCTCCTACGTCAACTACCGCCACCTGAGCTCCCTGGTGGACTCCATGACGCGGCGCGGCTACTTCATGGCCATCACGCGGCACGGCATCAACCGCGACGAAACCGGGCCCCTTCACCAGGCCTCCTTCGAGGAGACGGTGGAGATCCTGTGCCGCGCCGCGGCGTACGCGGAGGCCGACGACATGGCGGGCGTGTCGGAGAACATCATGCTGGGCCAGCTCTGCCCCGTGGGCACGGGGGCCTTTGGCCTCATGCTGGACGAGGCCAAGCTGGCCGACGCCATCGAGCTGGACTACGCCTTTGCCGAGGAGGCGGCCTGGGGCGGCGGGCTGACCCCGGGGCGCACGCCGCTCATGACCCCGGGCAGGGCCTCGCCCTCCGCGCTCATGTCACCCTCCCAGAGCCCCTTCCACGACTCCGTCCTCTTCTCCCCGGCGGGTGACGTCATGTTTTCCCCAGGAGGGGCCAGCCCGGGGTACAGGTGTGTTTGCTGGTGGTGGGTTTTGGGGGGAGGGGGATGGGTCTGCTGAGCGTGGGAGGGATACAAGGGATTGAAATGACGGGCAGGGCAGGGGACCCTGGACAGCATCAGAGCGTGACGGGACGATGCCCTGAACCTCCCCCCCCTCATCCCCCTGTCCACCTCGCAGCCCCACCAGCCCCGGCTACTCCCCCACTAGCCCCGGCTACTCGCCCACGAGCCCGGGCTACTCGCCCACGAGCCCGGCGTATTCGCCAACGAGCCCCGCGTACTCCCCCACGAGCCCGGCGTATTCCGCCAACGAGCCCGCGTACTCCCCCACGAGCCCGGCGTACTCCCCCACGAGCCCGGCGTACTCCCCCACGAGCCCGGCGTACTCCCCCACGAGCCCGGCGTACTCCCCCACGAGCCCGGCGTACTCCCCCACGAGCCCGGCGTACTCCCCCACGAGCCCGGCGTACTCCCCCACGAGCCCGGCGTACTCCCCCACGAGCCCGGCGTACTCCCCCACGAGCCCGGCGTACTCCCCCACGAGCCCGGCGTACTCCCCCACGAGCCCGGCGTACTCCCCCACGAGCCCGGCGTACTCCCCCACGAGCCCGGCGTACTCCCCCACGAGCCCGGCGTACTCCCCCACGAGCCCGGCGTACTACGAGCCCGGGCTACTCGCCCACGAGCCCGGGCTATTCGCCAACGAGCCCCGCGTACTCCCCCACGAGCCCGGCGTATTCGCCAACGAGCCCGGCGTACTCCCCCACGAGCCCGGCGTACTCCCCCACGAGCCCGGCGTACTCCCCCACGAGCCCGGCGTACTCCCCCACGAGCCCGGCGTACTCCCCCACGAGCCCGGCGTACTCCCCCACGAGCCCGGCGTACTCCCCCACGAGCCCGGCGTACTCCCCCACGAGCCCGGCGTACTCCCCCACGAGCCCGGCGTACTCCCCCACGAGCCCGGCGTACTCCCCCACGAGCCCGGCGTACTCCCCCACGAGCCCGGCGTACTCCCCCACGAGCCCGGCGTACTCCCCCACGAGCCCGGCGTACTCCCCCACGAGCCCGGCGTACTCCCCCACGAGCCCGGCGTACTCCCCCACGAGCCCGGCGTACTCCCCCACGAGCCCGGCGTACTCCCCCACGAGCCCGGCGTACTCGCCCACGAGCCCGGCGTATTCCCCCACCAGTCCAGCCTACTCACCCACAAGTCCAGCCTACTCACCCACAAGTCCAGCCTACTCGTAAGTCACGTTGTCCTGGGTATGCCTGGTTCACCTCAGCAGTCCGAGAAGGGGGGTCTGATCATGGATGCACATGATGCTCCTAGGGTTTTGAATCAACAACTTATGTCATCAACACTTTGCAGGCCTACAAGCCCGGCAGTACTCCCCACCAGCCCGCAGTACAGCCCAACCAGCCCTCAGTACTCCCCCACCAGCCCGCAGTACTCCCCCACCAGCCCGCAGTATAGTCCCACCAGCCCGCAGTATAGTCCCACCAGCCCGCAATACTCCCCCACCAGCCCCCAGTATAGCCCTGGTGGCAACGGAGACGCCTCAAAGCTCAGGTCAGCATGGTTACGTGTGGATGGTTGCAAACCTAGTATCTGTGCTCGGGCATCGTATACCTAATCATGCCATGGGTCATTACAGGGGAGGTTGGCCTGTGCTTCAACGGTGTCCTTCCTCATACCACAGCCCCAGAGCTGGCGAAGGAGTGAAGAAGGAGGAACTGCAGTGACGAGAGGGTGCCTCTGCGTCGGCTTTTACTGATTCAGATGCGTTGCAATAAGCATGTCAGGCGGTCATGGAAAGTCAAGGGAAGAGTGCCGTGCAATTTTGGAGATTGGTTTGTGCAGGCGGCGGGTCATGGGTGTTACTGGCCGGCGTCCCTGGGCAAGGAGGGTCTATTGAGGGACCGCGACCTGAGCTTCTTTGCCTTGTGCGTCAGCCTGTTCATGTCCTCGTCCGTGAGCGCCTGAGCTACGTCAATGAGGGCATCCAGACTCGGTCGCCCTGTCGATACGGGTGTCATGGATGCGGGGGGGAAGCCGAAGGGGGCTGGCTCCTCAGGCTGCGCAATGACGCTCCCCATCCCCGGCTCTTCTGGGCCTGAAGGGGTCGAAGGGGGCAAGCCTGAGGCAAGGGATCCCTCTGGACACAGGCCTGAAGCAAGTGTTACAGTGCGGACTATGCATTCGCACAGATCAGCAGCAACCGGCTCTCACAGATGAGCCGCCTCACCTTCTGCCCGTGCGCCGGTGTTGACATCCTGCTGCTGAGGGGCTGCCGCTGTGTCTGCGCTTTGCATGCCCTTCCCCCTCTGGGCAGGTGCTGTGTCTGCGCTCGGATCGCTCCTCCTTTTCTGGGCAGGCGCCAACAGTGCCTGGCGCTTGGAGTCCTTTGCAGACTTCGGGAGCAGCCATTTTTGGATGTCGGCAGCGGAGAACCAGTAGGTGCTTGGGTCGGTGGGGAAGCTTACGTAGAACGACTTGAAATTGGGCCCCCGCGCATGCTCCACAGTGCCTGTGACATGGGAAGCGCCGGTGCAAAGCTGAGTCGTGGCACAGTCGCCTGCCGGGTGTGTGTGAGCGGGTCCGAACGAGGCTCACCTTCCCACCCCTTTTGTCCGGCCGGTGGTGGCTCGTCTGGCCACACCGACTCGGGCACCAGGACCCTCCTTCCGATGAGGTCGGCCTTGGATGGCTTACATTTGGAAGCAGGGGCCATACTCTGGCCGAGCAACTTACGAGTTCTCGGTAGAGCTGTCGTTTGGGTGAGCAGGGCTGCGATCGAGGCAGTCCCACTGCGGAACCAGTCCTTATACGTAATCACTGGCGGTCTTAGAGTCGGTGGTTGTTACAATTCGTCCTGCGCGCTTCGTGGGGGCCTGGATCATGCCTCGCAAAGTTTCGTCAATCGCGCCCGAACGGGCATCGTGCACCACTTTCAAATCCAGCGACATTGTCGTCCCCCCGAGCACATCAAGAGGACAAAAATCAGGAAGAGTGCATTGATCGTTGCTCCAACGGCACATGGAAACCTTCCATCTGGCGTAACTTTATTCGAGTAGGCACGAGCTTGACTTGTCATGTTGGTGCCTGTGTCTGGTGCTAGCGGGGAGTTGCCTGCCTGGGCGATGATAGAGATGCAGGGGGAGATCGAGCGTAAGGACGGCGGGGGACTGGATGAGAAATTTGACATCGGTACCCTGTCCACCTCATCGACGGTGAGCTACCATCAGGAGTGCTGGTAGGTTCCAGGTTGGTGCCTAGCTGCTTTACAATTCCCATGGGGCCCTGCTCCGCACATGCCAGTCTGCCTCGCCCTGCAGGGCAGCATCTTCCTGACCATTGGGTACCACCAGCTGGAGGGCAGCCGCGTGCCTCTAAAAAAACCATTCGCGATCCTGGAAAAAGACACCAGCGAGGGCAGCACTGGGTACCAGGTGGGGTCGGTTGGAGGCGTGCTGAGTTGGAGGCCACCCCAGGTGCGGGTAGTGGCCCGCGGGATGGTCACAGTGCTGCCCTGGCCATGCCCATCAACAAACTGGGAGTATTCACAGTCTTCGATGCCCACCAATCAACAGGTCGTCGGCGTGGTCAGGGAAAAGTATAAGTTCAGTGCGCGTCCACGCCCGCTAATCTCCAAGCCCCGGGCTTGAAGGGCCGGGCCCATGGCAGGCCGCATCCCGCGCCGGGCGCTTGAGCACCGGTCACGCTGGGCGAAACATCCAGGCCGCTGGCTGGTGTGCCTGCGCAGGGGCATGCGCGCCGTCGCCAGACGACACCCTGTCCAGCTCTTGGGACCTCGAGCCATGGTAGCCTGTCAGTATGGCTTCATCCCCGTGCCAAGAGGGAGCTTGGTCAATGGCAACCGGCCGTTTGCCACTGCTCCCCTTCGGCCTAGATCCTCGGCTGAGCTGGCGCGGCCCCTCAGCTCCGCCTTGCGATCCCGTGCGCCTCTTCCATCAGGTCGTCGCTGACGTTGCCGCCGCTGAGCACGACGGCGACGCTCTTTCCTCTCAGCCCCGGGACATGCCGTAGGAGGGCGGCCACTGCTACCCCCGCCGCGCCCTCCACCCTCAGCGCGTGCCAGCTGGCGAGGTCCACCATGGCCGCCGCGATCTCCTCCTCGCTGACCTGGACCCACTCATCCACCAGATCCCGGCAGACAGGGAAGGTCAGGCTGCCGGGCTCTACACCGCCTGTGTGGTCGAGGGGAGGAGGGGGCGCACACTATGCATGGGCTTGCTTTGCTCGCGCATGCCATGTTCTGTAGCACACCAAACATCCAGGTGAAGAAGAAACGGCGGCCGTGGCAAGCTGGGAGTACACAGGGCCAGGCGGGAGGCCCAAGAGTCCTGCCACCATGGTGGTACCCCAGCCACCATTGCGCTCCCATGTCCCGCCCCTAGCCACTCCTGAGCACGCACCTGCCGTCGCTCCCGAGAGCGTCTCCGTGCTGATAACGTCCTGCAGCAATCGGCCGGCCTCCACTGAGGCGGCCATGACGGCCGAGGCGCTGGGCTGGCAGCCGATGACCTTGATGCACGGGTCCACGGCTTTGAGCACGGAGGCGATGCCGGAGACCAGACCACCGCCGCCCACGGGAACGTACACAGCGTGCAGACGGGGCAAGGCCATGAGCAGTTCGAACGCGACCGTGCCCTGGCCACCGGCCACACGCAGGTCATTGTAGGGGCTGACGTAGGGGCAGCGCTCGGCCGCCGCGGCGGCGCGCGCCGCGGCCTCGGTGTCGCAGCAATCGTCGCCCGCGTAGCGCAGGGTCGCTCCCAGCGCCTCCAGTCGCCGCGCCTTTCCTTGGGTGACGGTGTTGGGCAGGAAGATGACGGGCTCCAGGGCGGGGGCCTCAGGGCGGGACGCCAGCGCGCGCGCCGCCTGCACCGTCGCCAGCGCATGGTTGCCGGTGGAGGCGGTGACCACGCGCCCAGCGCCGCCCAGCGAAGCCAGCGCGTGGGTCGCGCCACGCAGCTTGAAGCTGCCCGTGGCCTGGGAGCTCTCCAGCTTCAGGTGCACGCGGCAGCTGGTGCACGCCGCCTCCAAGTTGGGCGAGCGCAGCAGCGGGGTCTCCAGCACGCCCAGCCCGTAGATGTGCTGCAGCGCCTGCCACGCCTCCCTGGCCACGTCATTCGCTTTCTGGGGGGGTAGGAGTTGGGGGCCAGGGGGGAGATTAATGGTGCGGAGAAGGCGCCATTCATGTCCCCCAGCCAACTTTGTCGAAACTACCCCCTCCGCAACCCAACAACCTGATGCTCACCTCGGCATCGAAGCGGGGCCAGCCCTGCCCCTCCAGCCTCTCATTGAAATAGGCCTCAGTCATGGTGTCCTTTAGCCGGGGAACCGCGGGGGTGGGGACGGCGGGCATCCTCCGTCCAGGGGGTGTCGGACGACCCCGTGGGTTCCCAGACTTGATGAAGCGCCCAGGTACGAACACCTGCATTACCCCGGTCATCAGGACATATTGAAAATTGAGTTGATATATTGGAAAGGCAGATCGATGGACGCATGCGCCCGATTGCTCAATGCGTGTGTTCTTGTCACGGAGCGAGATCTTTCTAGATTTCGATCTCAGGAGTCTGCTGGGCCCCGGTGAACTCTCTGACTCAAACAATGCCGTCAATCAAATTGTCTGCTTGCTGAAAGGGTGCTCATATATTGACCCTCGTGCTGAGGATGCTTGTAGATGTGATGCCACGGGTGTCTACCCAAATCTAGCAGGGTGCAGACAGGTTGACCCAAAACCGCATTCCCTTTGAGCAAATGGTTCTTACATTGTATAGGCAGGGCCTACCGCCCAGTCCCCTTCACAAAGCCTCTGAATCGGCATACAGCCACTCAATGCCCAGAAGTAACCCTGAGCAGTCATGGAAGTCTAGCGAGTGTGGGCCAGTTGTCCGATTGGTGGAGGACAGGAACGTCTGGGGAGTCGCACAATAAATGGATCAGTAGCAAGCACGGCGATGTAGAACGAGATTAGGCACCATTCCTGTGCAGCTAGGCAGTGCATTTGTGTCTCAGGCCAGGCTTGACGCCTCACATTCTCTCCTGTCTGGGGCATACAGGGCAGTAAGGCAACCCTTGCATCTGCTGGGGTTCCCACGCCATGCAGCCTGGGGGCCAGCATGTAGCGGTCAGCACCAGCCATGGGCCTCCTCAGAGGGATGATCTGCAGTGCTCAGTAACGGGCTGTCTACTTGTCAACCAGGACGAACTTCACGTCATCGTACCCCGGGAAGCTGGGGGCATGCTTGTGCCACAGCGCTTGCATGGCATCGTAGAATGCCGCATGCACAGTGTCCACCTGCTCCTGGGTGGGCTCCTCCCCCGGCCCCAGCTCGACGGGGGGGATGGGCTCCCCGATGATGAATCTGCGGGGGGGTGGACCACGGTGTAGGAGTGTCTGGCTTGGGCAATGCTACTTGAATGGCCAGCCACATCCCTCCTGTGCGGGGAGCTGCCTGGCAGGTCTGCCTGGCGTCCCTTGCACTGAAACCTCGCGTGAAAACATCTCTCCTGCATGCAAGCCTCTTCCAGGCCAAGAGCTTCCCTACCAGGTAAACACACCCCAGGCCCCCTACCTGAGTCCCGTGGGCTGAGGAAAGGGCGTCAGGCCCCACCGCCCCACGATGAGGTACGGCACAGGGAAGCCCAGGCGCTTGTAGGTCCACTGCAGCATGGCCGGGGCGCTGATGAGGTTGCGCAGGGAGTCGATCTCGCCCAGCACCAGGAGGGGGACCAGGCTGGCCTGTGCCTGCTGCGCCACCCTCACGAAGCCTGCATTCGAGTGTGGGCGGGTGTGGAATTTGGTGGGCGTGCGGGGCGTTGCGATGGGGCGCTCCCAGGCATGGCGTGTGAGTGACAAAGACAGCGGCATCGAGGCACGGGGCCGCCCCAGAGCGCGTCACCCTTGTGACTGCGGTACACACAGTACTCGCGGGCGGTGAAGATGCGGTGGGTGTGCACCAGCTCGGCCTGGCCGCCGGGGACGAGCAGGACGGAGCCCCGCTCGCGCAGGGCACGCAAGAAAGAGCGGCGTGTGACCACCCTCAGCCCCAGCCAGGCCAGGATGTCACGCAGCACGGGCAGCACGAAGACGACCGAGGCGGTGAGGGTGACGGGGCGGATGCCAGGGAGGAGGCGCCGGAAGGAGGGGAGCACTGGGAGGTAGCCGGCCCCTGTGAGCATAGGAGCGGATTCGGGTGTCGGAGGGGTGGCTGTGGTGCGCTCATGATGGACACATAAGCGCATGGGCAAAGAGTAGGGGGACCGTACCTCACCATTCCCTGTACCCGATCCGATGCCGCTGCAGGTGCTGAGCCCCGACAGTGTCGCTGGAGGGACCAGCTCACACGACCCTGGTTCACATGATCACCCTCCCTCCTTTCCCCCCTCCTTACTCACCCAGGGGGTAGAGGCCGTGCGCGGCAAAGCCAAAGACATAGCGTTTCTCTGGGTCCAGCGGCTGGGAGGCCCCCTCCCGGACCACCTCCAGCGACCCCAGCCAGGCAGGCAGCACCTCCTCCAGCTGCCGGCCAAACCAGTCCTGGAAGGCAGGCCACTCCCGGCGCCCTGGTTGAGGACAAGAGGCGGGACAGGGCAGGGATGAGCGGGGGTGTGGTGTCTTGGATTGTGGGCACGCAAGGGAGGAACAGGGGAGCAGAAGGCTGCATCAGGCACAGGCACACTGCCTTGGCCAGGCCTGCTGAGGCGGACGGGCTCATGAGACCCTGGAATAAAACACATCCAGACTATTCTCTGGACGGCATTCTTTGCGCCCTGTGTACACATCCAGCTCACCTGATACCTCGGGCGCGCCTCCCAGGCTGGTGACGGTGTAGTAAACGAAGAGCGTGGCAATCAGCAAGGTGACAGCAATGTGAGGTGGCAGGAAGAAGAAGTATGCAGCCATGGCCGCAGATGTCACGTGCATCTGTTGTGAGGGGAGGGTGTGGGGGGGCGCGAGGGGGCGGTGACCTATCAGGATCACTGTGATGATCAGCTGAAATCAGGACAGCTGCTCAGGTTACATGAACTAACCTTCAGACCTGGACCTGTGCTGATCCTAAACAACACCCTGGCCTTCCCGTCATTGACTTTTGAACAGGCGCGGCAACCCGGGCCGCTCCAGCCTCCTCACCGGAATGTACAGGATGATGATGGTCGCCACATTTTCAAGGCGCTGACGCAAATTGCGGGGGCGCGCCTCCTCGCCCAGGGATATGCTGATTTGCCTGACCAGCTGCATGGTACGCTGCGGCCCCTGGAAGAAGACCAGGGAGCTGGCCAGGACCTGTTTGGTTGGGGGAGGGGAGGGAGTCAGGCAGAGCACAGTGTGGCATGCCGTCAGAAGGCATAGAGTGCCGGTCGGGCCACTCACCCCTTGATAACTAGGCATGGAGGCATAGGGGCTGCAACAGGTGCCTCGATACTATCCGTTTCCAACCTTAGCAAGGTCATTCCGGAGCCCCCCCTGGCCGCCAAGGGACCTCATCCCCCATTCCCACTCTCCCCCCTTTCCCAACATCTCTCACCAGCTGGGCGGTGACCATGATGGCGCCCGCCGTCCAGGTGTAGCGCCGGGCGCCCTCCATCACACCCGCTGCGCCTTGGGCGATGAGGTACAGCATGAGGGTGAGGCCCGCCGAGAAGAGGGCCCAGCCCAGGGCCTGGGTCGCCACAAACCAGGCCCCGCCCCGGAAGGGCTGGAAGAAGCGCCAGGCGGAGGGCGGGGCGCGGGCGCGCCGCCCCGAGTCGCTGTCGTCGTCGCTGCCGGCGGCGAGGGCCGGGGCATGTCGCAGGTGCCCGGCCAGGCCGTAGGTGGTGAAGGCGGCCATGGTGAGGCAGGCGACGGCGAGGACAAGGTAGGCCAGGCGTGAGCTGGCATCGTGCAGCACCTCCGACCCCAGGTACAGCAGGGCGCCGCCCAGCGCCACCCACAATGTGCCCATGGCGATCACGACGTAGGATGCGGCGGCGCGGGAGGGGAGCTGGGGCGGGAGGGGTTGCGGGAGGGGGGGTGGCGGCGAGGAGACAAACACAAAAAGCCGACCAAGAGGGGCGAGGGAGCGTGCTTGCAAGGATTACATGGTGGCAAAGGGGGGGCGGGAAGGAAATTGCAAGGGTCCGAGGCATGCAGCTGGGTTAGTGAGCGGTTCATTACTGGGTTCCTGAACTCTTGTCCTGGTGCCAAACCCGGGCAACAGAATCTTGAGCCCCGTGCACGCTCAACCCTCCCGCGGCAGTAGAAACCAGTCACCCACCTTTTTGACATCCCACATGACGTCCACCTGGCCCTGTTGCAGGCCGGACCAGATGCGGAGGGGCTTGGCCCCGGCATCAAAGCTGAGCAGGGCCGACACCTGGAACAGCTGTGCTGAGACAGCACCCACCGCCGCTGCTCCGGCCAGGAGCTCACGTGTCACGTCTGCATGGTCCAATTGGACGCTAAAGACGACGGGAAAGGCCACGGCGCAGCCGAGGAGCCAGGTCACCAGGCTGAGGGCCTGGAACACGAGGGTCCGGACCCCACCCCCCGTCCCCCACCCCCACCCGGGCTGGCTGGGGCGGGGGTCCTCGTTCCCATTGCGGGTGCGATGCAGCCAGGTGGCGCCCACAACGTATGTTGTCGGTGCAGTCGTGGCAAAGACCAGCCAGCAGGCGGAGAGGGAGGTCAGCAGGGGGTCCACGGGGGGCATTGGGTGTTTGGGGGACGACGTCGACTACCGAGGGAGCATCGCTGAGGAGCAGTCACCGTCAACCAAAATCAAGCATTGCATTTGCCCATCGGGATGAGTACGATGGGTCGTTATCCAGGCACAGCTTCCGCATCGGGCAATTTGGATTTGCCGAGTTTTCGTCAACTCCCCAACGTGCCGGACCCAACCAGGCGGGAACATGATGCGTCAGGAACATGCAACCTGCACAGGGTCACGATGGAGTTCTGCTTACTTTCCATGAGGGGTCAATTAATGCCCGATGTGCCAATCGGCCCTTTCTAAAGGCAACTGCATGGTACACTGGGCATGAGGCAGTGTGCCGCCACAAGGTATTGGTCAAAGCCTGGTGAAACGAAGCCAAGAACACGATGGGATTTGCCAAAATCCGTTCAGGATTGCGTACTTATTTTTTGTTCATGCATGGACGCAGGATCCTTGATGGCATCACGGCGATCTGTCGCAGAGTGGCAGTACTCCATGGCAGCCATCAGCCGGTGTGCCTTTCACCAAAATGGCTGGCGAGCAGCTCATACCTTAATATGAGAGGGGACTACCTTGAATTTTTCTTTGCACCAAGGGGATCGTCTGCAGCTTGTAAGGCCAATGTGACTCCATGATCGTTTCGGAAGAAAGAACCTGCACCCAGCACAACAACAAAACAATCTACTTTTGGAGGATCTCCCGACAGGGAAAGCGCATGCAGGCATCTGCTCCTCGAGGGTGCCCAGACAGAACAGGACTCTGTCAGACAATAATCGAAGACACGTTCTACCGTTAGTGCCTTCTGAGGCTCTTTGCTGTCTTCCGGGCCGCTGCCCGTGGTCATCCCCGAGCAGCATTCGGTGGCTTGGGGCCTTGTGCGCTCAGAGCTGCCTGCCGATGGCAGCGCAGGGTCCCTCGGGGGACCAGGGAAAGAGGAATGGCAACGTTCAGCTCGAGCTGGCACAGGTGCGAGGTGCTGGATGTGTGTGACGGCACTCGAGTGCCTGGACCCGTGCTAGTGCGCCATGGCGCACTTGCACGGTGGCATGCTACTGGCTCGCCATCCAGTGCGGGATGTGACCCGACTCTCGACCAGATCATCCACGAGCAGAGCGAGGAGCAGCTGTCGCGCCTGGACAAGCTGGTGGCGAGCCTGAACGAGACGCAGACTGCCTTCAAACATGACCGTCGGGGCCTGGCCCAGCTCTTTGCTGGGCTGCAGCAGTTCATGGAGGATGCGCTGGGGATCAACGTACGCGGGGTACCCCAGGCTGGGGGATGGTGCTTTCAGGGAATCGCATGTTCTTCCTGGACCCAAGGAAGCACATGCCCACAGCTGGGGGGGTTGCCCTGCCTCCCAACTGGTTCTCTCCTCCCCCCATCCCCGCAGTCCATGTACAAGTCTCAGCCCAAGCTGCCTGCCAGCCTGTTCCATGACACCTCGCCCTCCGGGCCCCTGCACACCATCGCCAGCGTCTGCGCCGACGCCATGCGCGTCCGAGGCATGAAGCGTATCGACTGGGCCTCCCCCGCCCTGCGCAAGGAGGTGAGGGGCGGTCCTAGCTCATGGATTTGCGGGTGGGATCAGGACTGCGCTGTGTGATGAACCGGCCGTCTCCCTGAGTCCCACCGCATCTTTCCTCTCACCCTCACCCCCTCCCAACCCCTTTAAAAAACAGAACCTGGAGCTGGTGTCCCGGCTGAGGCAGGAGCTGCTGAGGGCGGGGCACCTGCGCCCGCCCCGCGTGTACGTACACCCTTCCTGCGCCTCCGAGACGCTGCGCCTGACGCACGCGGTGACGCGGTTGGGCGGCGAGGTGGCCCCCGTCGAGACGACGCCCGGGGTCACGCACGTCGTCTACCCCTTTGGCCCCAAGGGCGACCCGGACGACGGCCAGACCTACCTCCGGGCCCTGGAGGTGCAGGGGCTTGTGATGTCCAGGATGAGGGGTGGAAGGGTAAGGGTGGGAAGAAGGCACAGACCATGCTTCACTGCACATGTCAAGTACGCTGTGATGCAGCGGATGCTGGTTCCAGTCGCTGTCCCTCACACTGCCCTGTGGTGGGGCAGGTTCCGGATCGATCAGCCGCCTGCGCTCCCGCCTTGCTGCCCAGAGTCGCGTCGCGGACTCCCACGCTCCACCCCCACGTCAACCCTCCTCTCCTCATCCCCCCCACCCCACACACACACACACGCTTTCAGAAACGGGGAGCCTTGGTGCGCGTGCACTGGTGGTACCTCCCCGACTCCTACGACGAGTGGCTGCCGGCCGCCGCCGCGCCGGAGGAGGTGGAGCCCGACCGCCGCCCGCGCGGCCCCTGGCGCGTCTACTCGCGCTGGCTGGCCGACTCCGAGAAGCACAACGAGTGGATGAACCCGGCCGACTACGAGACCGAGGAGGCGGCGGCGGGGGCGAGGAGGGCGGGGGCGCCAAGCGGTCGGGGGAGGAGACGGCGGGCGCGGCGGCCAAGCGCGCGCGCCTGGCGGGCCGCGCCGGCCGGCCCAACCCGGAGCTGGCGCCCGAGGCGGAGCCGGTGCCCCTGGCGCCCGGCGTGCTGCAGCAGACGGTGCTGCAGCCCAACCGCAAGGCCATGTCCGGCGCGGGCGGGCTGGACGTGTCCCAGGGCCAGGCGCGGGCCGGCGCGGCGCCCGCGCAGCCCCAGCCGCCGCCGCCGCCGGGCACGCCGTCGGGTGGCGCACCCCAGGAGCTGCACCGCGTCCCCGCCTGCGCGGCCTGGTTCCGCTGGGGCGCGGTGCACGCGCTGGAGCGCGCCGAGTTCCCCGACCTGCTGGGCGCCGGCGCGCCGCCCGGCGCGGGCGAGGCCTACCTCGCGCACCGAGACGCCATGGTGTCGCGATACCGCGAGGACCCGTCCCGCGAGCTGTCCTTCACCGAGGCGCGGCGCTGGCTGGCGGGGGACGTGGGCACGCTGCGCCGCCTGCACGCCTTCCTGCAGTCGTGGGGCATCATCAATGCGCACGCCCGCGTGCGTGCGCGCCGCGGCCGCGAACCCGCGCCGGGGCCGGACTCCGTGCTGCGCCTGGCGCCCCTGGTCGGGGCGGCAGAGGGCGTGGAGGCGGCGCTGACGGGGCCGGTGGCGGGGCGGGTCGCGCCCCTCGCCGGCCACGCCAATGGCGCCCTGCAGCCTGCCATCGCCACGGGGGTGCGGGGTGGCTTTCGTGAAGGGGAGGGGGGGGTGGGCGAATGGTTGCAGACCCCTCAATCCCTTGGGCGCGTGTGAGATAGGGAGATGAGAGGAGGCAGGGGCGCAGACGGAGGGCGGGCGCCTGGCTGTGGCCATGGTAACCATGCCGATGGTCGAATGTGAGCTGAATCCCCCCAGCAGTCGCTGAGACGTGCCCTGCCTCTCCTCGGGATCCCACGCGAGCCCGCGCCTTGGTTCCCCACGCCCTGCCCGTGCTCTATCCCCCCATGCCCACGCCCGACCCCTCCACCCTGCACATCACTCACAGGCGCAGTACTATTGCAATGCCATGCCCTGGGTCAACTGCACCAGCCTGCGGTACCACTGCACCAAGGTCCCGGACGTGGACCTGTGCCCACTGGCGTACGCAGGTGAATGGTTCAGGATCCATT